GACCAGTCTTTTACGATCTCTACTCCTAGGTATGTGTACTGGTCCACTACTGCAATCTCCTCGATCCCCCACTTCCATCTATGTTCTACTACTTCCCCCTTGTTCTCGTTGCATACCATGACGGCACTCTTCTGAACGTTGGCAGGCAATCGCCACTTATCAGTAAACCTCTTCGCCGCGTTAATTTGCAGTTGCAGTCCCTCAGGGGTGTCCGACATACCGACAAAATCATCCGCAAACAGCATTCCTAAAACCGACGTTTCCGTGTCCCCTACTTTTACTCCCTTCCGGACTGCATCTACGACTTCCGACAGATCGTTGAACACCTGGAACAATGTTGGGGACAACGTGCAACCTTGTGGGACCCCCTGCTCAATGTCGAAGAATTTAGAAAGATCTCCATCTCGCATGACCGCGCTTTTCGTACACTCTGTCATCTTCTTCAGCACTCTCCACATTTTCCCCTTGATCCCGTACTTGGACAGTTGTTTCCACAGCTCATATCTCCATACGGTGTCGTATGCCTTTTTCACGTCCAGGAAGGAGCAGTACGTCGGCTTTCCCGCCCTCTTTCTACCTTGGATTATTCTCCCTACCGTGGATGCGTGGTCTACGCACCCCCTCTTCTTGCGGAAACCTGCCTGGCCCTCACTAATGCTATGTTCCTTCTCCAATACTCCCACTAACCTTTCGTTCAGCAGCTTACAGAAAGGACCTTTGACGACGCACGGTTGTGATGGTGAATAGTTGCGCGGTCACCGCCCTCCAAGCCTTGGAGTATTGCGGCCCGGACGGGGTTGGAAAGATACTCGTTTTTATCTAGTCTGGATGGATGGATGCCCACGGAGACGGTTTACGTGACCAAAATCTACCGGTTCCAACAGGAACAGCGCCATCCCTCCCGGCTGGAAGCCTCCACATCAATCAACGGGTGTTGTTATTGCCACGAGCGGCAATGATCGACAGAATAGCGCACATGAATGAGAGCACTCTCCATCTACCCTTTGAGGAAGGTAAAAAGTAAGAAGCGGGGCCACAGGCAGCCAAGACGCGCTGTCCCTTCTGCCCCCCACAACACACACCAACGCCAAATAATCCATACGGGTCAACACGAACCACCCCATCGACAGCTTGCACGCGATGTCCGCGGGTTCCGCGGTTTCATGAGTTTTGCTTCTCCCCCCGCTCCTCACCTTGGGCGTACAGCACTTTAGCGACCAGCGTCCCGACGATCTGCTCCGCTCCGACCAGAGCCAGGAGCATGCCCGCCACGTTGATGTACAGCCCCATCCTAAGCGAGCCACGCATGCGCACTTGCGCGTCGTCCACCTCGGCCAGCGTTCCCAAATTCCTCCACCCCTTCGCCTTCAGGTTGTACCCCCACGTCCTTCGTGCGAAAAAATCCACATTGTGGAGATTAGCGTAGGAGTTTTTCGGTTTTGTCAGAAGCGCGTGGGGCGAACGTGGGGNGGGGCATGATTGAGCTCACGGCTTGTTGAGTCTCTCGCGCTCATGGGTCTCTCGTGATGCGCCTACGCCAACCCCACAGCGATACGTCTTTTGGTGGCAAAAACCACAACAGGAGTCTCTGCTGTCGGGCGGCGTAGCAGCAAGACATGGGGCACTAACCAAGAGACCGGAGAGAGACACGGCAACGCGCAAACGAGAACAAAACGTCCGGTTGGGCGAAATTGATTGGATTGTCTCGTGCTTGGAAAAATGTAACAATACATGGATCAGGAGCGACGCGCTCACCGCAGTAGTTACCGTCTCTTAACCGGGTAGGCGGCGGCGCTTTGCAAGAGCCATAATAATATTACCAACTCACCAGCAGATGCTCGCTGCCGAGCAAGCAAGGCTAGCCACGGCCAGCGCGACCCCGTTGCCGAGGATGTTGCCTCGGGCGGAGCGGTTGGTGACGGCGTTGGAGAAGAGGAGGATGATAAAAGCCACCGTCGACAGGATCGTTTGCGCCCACCACGAAAGCCAGCTCACCTGCCATAGATTACGAGAAACGGTTCCGGAAGAAACAAAAGCTAACAGGGTCAGTGCAATAGCCGGTCGCCCCGGTGGTCTAGTTGGTATCCTCGAAACCTTCTAGGGGTCAGGTCAAGGGTTCGAATCCCAGCGAAAGCGGACTTTTCTTGCAACGCGATTTTTCTCTCGCTTCCGCTCCTGGCCCAGTGGATAGCGCTAGTTCGTGTGTACACAAGAGAGAAGAGAGTGCTGAACTCTTCTCGCATTAAAAACCAAAGGCAACGTACCGCAGGAGGGAAGGGTAGAGAGGGGCTCTTCTGTGTGAACATGGGATGGAGTTAACGGCACTAATGCTGCGAGCGCTGATTTGAAGTGAAGACGAAAAACAAAAAGAAAAAAACCAAAGGGGGCGCGTGGGGGAGGGGGGGGTGGAAGATCTATTCCTTTCCGGAGGGTAGACTGGTGAGTGCACTAGCCTGCGTGAAACGATGCAACTCCTCTCCATCGCGGCCGTACAACAGAAAACAACTAGAAAGCGTGGTACGAATGGCAAGCAGCAAGAAAGTGGTGTGCCAGGCGGAGCATGAAAGGGCTCTGACGCTCTGACTCCCTGTTTGTTCCCACCTGAGTCCAAGTGGGAAAATGAGTGTGTGCCCGCAAGGTGTCTGAACACCTTGCCCCCCAACCGTATCACATTTTTAACATAACGGAGGTAGTACAGAAATATCCAGGGTACTCCTCGGGAATGTTCCCGACGTCATTTAGGCGGGAATTTCGGCGGTCCCGGTACTGGCCGGAATTCCCGCCATATTCGCTGGTACCGGGAACCGCCGACGGCGTTCCCGCCGAAAAAACGAAAACCGCTTCCCGCCTGAAAATTCCCGCCATATCGCAAACCGCCAACATTGGTACCGCCGTATTTTCACGTTTCCGGGACCGCCAAAAAAAAACGCCATATTGTAGTACCGCCATATTGCAGTACCGCCAAAATGGTACCACCATATCGCAATACCGCCAAGATGGAACCGTCAACGGGTCTGGAAATATCAAGGATACCTTGTCGTAGGTGCACGACACGCGATAAGGCCGCCTGGTGCAGTTCAGGCGACCGCGCAATCGATCTTTTCACGGTGTGTTCTATCCGTGGCCGCGCCGGGACTCAAGACCAATCAGATCATGCGTCTCGTTGCAGCGGGGCGGCCGTACAGAACACATCAAGATCCCACAGCAGCAGCAGCAGCAGCAGCAGCAGCAGCAGCAGCAGCAGCAGCAGCAGCAGCAGCAGCAGCAGCAGCAGTGCCGGCCCTGAACCTACAGCAATACAGGCAGGAAGTTGTACGACCGACAAGACACCGGGGAGGCGGCACCCACCTGTCGGAAGACCGTCGTGCTGCGCTTCAGCTGCTTGATGACAGACCTTTGAGGATAGGGCGTGTGAAAAGGCGGGCGACGGACGATGCCCGGTAAAAAAGATTACAACACCAAGAAACGCGAACTAGACACGCGAACGAGGCAAAACAAAACAAAAAATGATGAAAACATGAACCAAGCACAGCGACGTTGCTGTTGCGTATTGACCTTCAACGAAGAGTTAACAAGGTTGAGGAAGTCTCTTTCTGTACCAGCGACGAAGGTCGTCCCGTGCCAGAATTACAGAATACCAGTAACAGTGCCCATCGACCTTAGACTTTGAGTGAACATTGCAATTCTCGCGCTACAGTTGGTGAATACTAGCGCACATCAGGTCCTGTACAGCAAGCATAATAGTGCAAGTCTAGAACTCAGGCGTCTGGTTCATGTAAGCTGCTCGAGCGGATGGGTCATTTCAACTACAACGGCACATATGAACCGCAGGAGGGGGTCCAACCGCCCCCTCCTTTGTGACCCCGGTTGGGTCGTCTAGCTGGTAGAAGTGGAGGATAGGGGCCAGTGGGGCAGACGACAGAGTCCAATGATGGGAGAAAAAAAAAGTTATAATATGCACACGCCGGTTAGACTCCTACGGAGGGAACTACTTGCTGTTCATTGCCGGAAAGCGGAACATCGGAACCATGCAAGCAGCAACATTGTCAACTCAGCAACTCAGCGTTTCCAAGCCCACACGTCTGTGAGATTGCAGCAAACAGTTGTGGCCACCCCGCCCTAACCTAACAAGCACCATCATGCCCCACGACGAACCAGTTCAACATGAGGGTGGGAATCCAACTCGGCCACTGCTGAACACAGTGATTGTTGTCAGTTACTCACACACGCACCTGTCCAAGATCTCCTCGCCATCGTTGTACTCCTCCCCATCCACATCGTCATACTCGTACATTTCCTCACCCTCGTCCTCTTCCGCCGCCACGCCGCGCAGGCGCGAAGGCACTCGCCCGAACAAGCCTCCCCGGGCCGCCGCACCCGGTCGGACCCACCGAGGAAGAATTCGCTGCTGTCTTCGAAACGGTTCGAGAGACATCAACGCTGCTCCTGTTGTCGGTGAGCGAGGGGTTAGTGCTCGCGAGTTGCTGGCACCGCGGCAAAGGAAGGCGGAGCGGTGGCACCCAGCGGCGGCCGGTGGCGGAGGGACGAAGCCGGCAACAGAGCCTACCGTCAGCGCGAGGACGGCGGTGGCGGAGCCCATTTGAAAACCGTACATGATACCTTGATTTCTATTGCTCTCTCAAGCAACGAGGAGAGCACCCAAACGCTCAACTGCAGCTCCCACGACAGTATCCGACAGACCCCAGGGAAAAGTGTGTTGAGGATGCGGACACACGTGTGTGCCTGTGGGTCTATTCAAAGACCAGAGCCAGACGGAGATGGTTGTAGAATGTTGCACAAATGATGATTTAGAGGGAGGAAGGGGGAACGCATAATCATCTCAATATCACACATGTACCATATGTTTGAATTGCGGCGGAATACAGGATGTTGCGGATCCCCGGGTAGGAGCGAGCTGGAGCGAGGCTGTGCCGTCCACAACACACAGCAATTGCCGGCTGCTCTGTGGCGGCAACAAGCATGTCGACCTTTGACGATGACGATATGGACTTCGGGGATGATGATGATGGGGTGAGCTTGGAGATTTTGGAAACGCTAGCAGCAGCAGTGTGTGTTGAGAACCAGGCACCTCGGATCTCGACTCTCCTTCCCAAAAATTCAAAAATGAGCACAAACCAATCAATGATCTGTACCCATCTCATAGCATGGTCTACCCCTTGTATCAGCACGACACGCGCGCGCGTCAGCGAGGACTCATTGAGATGGATTGTGAGACCCCATGCATCAGCATCCCATTCCATTCCGCCTCTCCTCACTATGTCTATTGCAATGTCGTGCAGCGCTTGACCTCACACCACCGAGCTCACAACTGGCCTGTCTGTCCCTACACCCCCAACAGGACGATTTCTTGACGGGCAAGCTTGCAGCGTTGGGCATCGACGAAGACCTCGAGCTTTCGGGGGGCGAAGAAGAAGACGACAACCCTGCCCCCGCCACAGACCCCGCCGCCGATTCATCCAACAAGCCCCCCTGCGTCGTGGCACCATCGCCACAGCAGGCTTCCGCTTCTACAGCAGCAGCAGTACCTGCCGCAAGTCGTTCGACGGCTCCCGCGCCCGCCGATGATTGGGGAGCACCACCAAGTGATGGCTGCTCCTCCGGTGATGCGGGCGTTTGGGGAGAAGTAGACTCGTGGGGGGAGACCCGAAAAGCAGCACCGACCGCCAAAGCACCACCCGCTGCGGGAAGACGGGAAACAGCGCTATTGGAAGATGGGGAGCTCGTGCAGATGATCGACCAGCCCTTGCGGGCCTCTCGCGGCAGGGAGCAAAGGTCTGCCCGGGATAGCGGTAGAGGCGGGGGGCGCAGAGGCGGGGGGGTTGGCGGCGGCAGGGGCAAGAGGGGGCGCCCGAAGAACGACGGCAAGGCGCGAGGGCGGAATGTGACGATCAAGGAGTGCGCCGAGTGGGTGTGCGAGCGCCTCGGCGAGCCCAAGTACTACCTCATGTGCCAAGTGGTGTCCACCATCGGTTACAACAAGACCAGGGACTTGCTGGAGGCTGTGCAAGAGACTCAGGTGAGGTGGCGCTGCTGGTTGTGGTAGGAACAAAAAGGCGAAGAAAAACAGTGACGCTGTTTGCCGCCGCAATGTCATTCAAAAAGTTGACGACAAAGCTCTGCTGTGGCCTATTGCCGAGCGACGGACTATCCGGATGGCATGCATAGGTGCGACAGTGTTTGCTCAAGAAGGAGTCGCATGGCATATTTGTTCTTGTCAGCTTACATCAAGTCTGCTCACAGCTAGTCTGACCTTCGGGGCGCTGGTGGCACACACGGATACCCTAAAGATTATCTCATCTTTCATCGGGTCCTGATGACCTCTGCGCTGCTCTATTCAGTACGCCGAGTGTCGCCAAAAGTAGTGCTACAGACTACACGCCGGTGAGCGTGAACAACCCCAACCGACGAAGCACGAATGCACCGTTCGACGACCCACCATCGTGCCCCGAAACGCCGCTGTAACTGCTGTCAAGACCCCCCCCTCAACCAGCCCCGCCGCCCCCGCCCGCCCATAACACACGCCCAACGAACAGGACACGGGGGGCATGCCGACCGCGGACGGGAGTCGGAAGCGCACCGCGGGAGGCGTTTTCTTCACCCTCCTCAAGAAACACATGGAACCGGCCCGGCTCAAGGAGCTGTACGCGGACGAGCTGCGCGTCAAGAAGGAGAAGGACCGGGCGCGCAGAGCGGCCAACAAGCGCAAGGCCGAGGCGGCCTTGGCAGGGGAGGACGTCATGACGCCTAGAAATCCCCCGAGGAGCAGAGGGCGCGGCGGCGGCGGCGGCGGTGGTGGCGGTAGTGCCACGAGGGCGGGAAGAGATATGGGAAAATGGGCCGGCCCGACCGCCGAGGCGGGCGGTAGGGACGGTTGCGGTGATGCTGTTGCAGCGAAGCGCACACGAGCGGGCATCAGTAGCCTCTCCAAAGAATGAGACAGCGGGGATGCTGCCTGCAAGGCGTTTTTACAGCAGGAACTGCCGTGCCGCTAGTAGTGCGAGATTGAGCGACACCACGCGGTTCTTGTAGGGCCACTATTAAATGGTTACGAGGAGTCCGTGGCGCCGTCCATCTATCTGCCTCTCGCATGTTGTTCTCGTGTGCACTTTCTCAGTGTCACCACACACGTTTTTTGGGCGGGTGAGTGAAGTGCTACGCTTGGCTTGGGGCGGCAGGTTTTCTCATGCATTAGAGGACGTGGGCGGTAGTGGCTGGAACTATGTTGAATAGTGCTTATTTATTGCGCTGGCGGTCGCACTCACGCCTGTTGTGGATTTCAGATCCCCCAAGGGAACTCGTCACATGCCAACGGAAATCTCGACTTGGCAGGGTTCCAGCTTGAAACACAACGCGCCCGGGACGCGGTTTGCTGTCATGTTCCGTGTGTCATGGATTTGCCGTTGAGATCGGCGTTGGCACTGTCGTGTCACGGTTTTACGTTTTGTACTTGGCTATCATCACCCTATGGGCGATATTTTAAGTGCCGTTGAGATAAGTAGGCGTTGGCACTGTCTTCTAACGGTTTTTACGTTTTATACTTGGCTATCGTCACCCTATGGGCGATATTTCAAGGGTTTGTTGCCCTGGATGTGAATCGCCCTGACACCCGGTGGCTGGAGACCATCAGGTCTTGTAGATATCTACTACAAACACTGGGTTAAGCTCGGAAAGACTTGTATTTGACTCATGTATAGCTCGGGTCAACGGTTCAACAAGGTGGTCAGCCGCGCTTCTGTGATGTTGATCGGGCAGCAGAGCATTCATAATTTCTGGATTGTTCACATGTCATTGCCATGCATGTGTCCGAAACCCAAGAGTATCTATCCGTCTGGGGAACAGCGGGAGCGTGGATGTTAGTTCTCATTGAAAGTTAAACAAGTCCCTGCCACTGTTTTATGGACAGCGCTAAGAACGCGACGGTTCCAAAAAGTAAAATCTTGCGGAAGCCCACTTTCCCAAGCACGTTCACAACGGCCACATCAACTCAAGTCACTCGAGTGCGCCGAGAACCTAGCCCGCTTGCTGTTTCGACCGCTTGACGGCCCCCTCGAAGTGCTCTTTGAACACCATGAAGCGGTTGGGCTGGTCCAAACAATTGTGAAGCCCGAAGTGCTTACCGAGGAAGGGCTTCAGCTTCAGGGACGGCCTGTCGTATGCGATTTCCGTTGGCGTTAGCCCTTCCTCCTGTCGAAACCGGGCGCGCGAGGGGAAGGTTGGACGCAGTAGTAACTCACCTCTCAGACCCTCTCAGACCTTTGGTGTTGTGTTCGGTTTCTGTCTGAGGCGACAGGATCAGTCTCTTCCGAAAGCAGGAACGTGTGTCGCAACTGCTGCAGACTTGATTTAAGGGATGCTGCCGCACCATTTCGCCCCTCCGAGGTTTCCCTTCTTCGGCTTTCGACGAAACTACTATTCGTATCGTGTCGTGCCCCGTGGTCGAGAGCCTGTTGATGGATCTTACAAAGCCAAGCAAGGACGTTGGCCGACCGTTTCGCAAGGTCTGTATTTACGTGCTTTCAGGAGACATGCGTTTCTGGTACGAAGGGGTGCCTTGTATAAGGTCGTAGGTCATTCATTCGTGAAAGACAAAATGTTGATTTCCTTTGCTTACCCGCCTGCGAATGTAGTGCTGTACCTATCGAGCAATATCTTCACAGTCAAGGTCGCAGTGCCGAGTCCCGTACATACCCCACCTTCAGGGCTGATTTGAATAGGTCGAGGCCAAGGCCCCGCCTTTGCACACTCTCGTGCACATAGAAATCTAGGAGGCACATGGTGTCCTTCTCGATCATTGATCCGTTATCGTCCTGAGGCTCGCGATGCAACAACAGTAGCAGAAAGTGTCCGATGTGTGTGTCAAAGAGATTAAGTTGTTTAGCTTTGACCGAGGAATGCCAAATTTGTGGCTACAGCCACCAGCTCATACTGACTCCCACGTGTGCTGAGGAGTTAAACTTTTGGATATCTGCCTGTGTATGCATTCTGTTTGCATCTCTTCGCCTGGCTAAGAAAGTACGCTTCGTTTGTCGTGCGTACCAGGGACGGACAGCACGATCGATGAAGACGTCACGCCATAGTTGTTGGAGGAGCTAAACCCCGTGGCAGGAAATTTCATGAGCAGTAGGGGTGCGAAAAACATCTTTGTGGATCTATGAAAACCGACTGAGAACTAATTCACCGATGAACGAAAGGCTGTTTTCTTCACTTACCCTCTAAATCAACCGTCCGTGAGAGTCGCGAGAAGCCTGAATACCGTCTCGGTCAATTGATCATCATGAAGGAAGAAGACAGTCTACGGTCAGACAACATGCGGTTGACTGGTGTGTCGAACCTATAGTGCTGGTTTCAACTTATCAAATCTTGGGTGAGTTCGTTGAGTGGTCAAGATCTCCGCCCTCGGTTTTTCGTTGATGTGCAAGATAGACTCATACCCACGAAATGGATTGCTCCACAATCCAATGTTGTTGGAACATCAAAACGTTGCCTTGTCGACAGAGCTCTTACATTCTCGTATGTTGATTACGTTCATGCTCGAAATGTATATCAAAACCACAGGAAGATCTAGGCCAGGTTTTTGAACTTATGGCCGTTACATGTCTGTTCAGAGTGCGCTTGTTCGTGGTGAGTATACCAAAGTCCATGACGTGACGACCCGCGGGAAAGCCCGTTGAGAAATCACACGACGTTTTGGTGCGTATACTATTTCTAGCGCTCACCGGGTATAGAAATAGATACTTCCGTCCCAGCCGCAGGAAGCCTTGCAGGGTACCTACAGTGCCGTCACACGCGATGTACAAGATATCGTCCTTTGCCCGAATCTTGTCCGCCGTTGTCAATGGCGTTGTTTGTTGTTGCGCCTAGGACAAGTATCGGTGTAACGTGTTGATGTCATGAGCAACACATACACCACATGTTTGTTGGACCCGAAGCACAGGGTAGTCTACAAAGCTTTACGCCAGCTCATGTGTGTGTTGGGGGGGATCTAAGCAAAGCCGGGAGGAGAAGTATTATTGGCGAATGCAAAAAGTCGAACAAATTCATTCCAAGCTACGGTCCCGGATTGTTTGTCATGCATGAAGCACCGAGATATAAAGCCGATCCTCGGTCATGTACATTGGTTGCCCTGTCGGTTCACAACACACAAACAAACAGTTTACCTCTCTCGCAACCGCCGCCTCGTATTTATGAATGATTGGTGTGCATGGATGTCTGTACCTTGCTCGATAGTTGTCCCATTTCATTCAGCGCCTTGTCGAATGCCTCGGAGCTTCGTGCGTCTAGTGAACCTGCAGCAAATCTACCGAGCGTAACGGTGAGTCACATACATAGCGGCCATATTTCGAATACCCGAGCACATATAGCCCAGACGGTGCATTTCCTGTGATGGAGTGCACCTGTAGTCGGGAGAAGCTGTACATAGGATCCAGGAAACGGATTAGTCTAAGGTGTCGTGCGGGCTGCCAGGTACATGAAAAGATACAGCCCCGTGCGTGTATCTTGCGTCTTGTCCGTGGGGATAGATCGCTTCGTGGAATACTGCTGTACCTCACCTAATTTTTCGGCGTTCCATCGAGATATGCCAGGTTCAAAAATGGTGTTTTTCATAAAGGATAGATTCATCGCCCTGCCGCGGTATCGCCTGGGTTTCGATAGTAGGGTGAACTGGTTGATGAATCAATATTGTCCGTGCAGCGGCGCAGCGGTGCGGCGGCGAGGCAGTTATTTAATTGCGCCGCAGTTGATTGCGCCGCATTTTTCACTTGGGCCGCATTTGTTGGATCCATCGCTCCATCGCCGATCGCCCGAGAAGTTGACGTGTTAGCGTTGTTGCCCCCGCGGTGTGCTAACGTTCAAACCACCCCGTGGGACGTTCTGTGGGAATATGTAGGTTTCCCTACTCTTTTTAAATGTTTGGATCATGTGCTGGCAAGGCTGAGGGGAACTCGGACGCAGAGAACAAGCGACGTCCAAAGAGATACGAAGGCGAGAGGCCGACAGCTCCTCGTTTTTACTTTTTTTATCAAGCAACGCGAGACAATTTGCATTAGGCGCATTACTCTACAAGCTGAGCGTCGTGCGCACGAACGCATCATTTTTCTTGTTTTATTGTTGTCCTTGTCGTCCTATAAGATCAACTCTCCGCTCGTTCGTGTAGTCTACGCAGTAGGCGGTCTACCGACATATTTCGCGGACGCCACTTGTTCTCTTCTTCCTTTCGTGATGAGACTTCTGTATTACTAGTCTATGTTGTGTATATGCTATTGATCACACAGGTTCACGGTTACAGGCGCTTCGAGCATCGTATATCGCATGAACTTCTCTGTATCGTCTGGAGCAGGTCAAACGCGCGAACTTGTCGTCAAGCAGGCGGAGAGCGTTGCGCGCCATACGCTGGTTGCGGATATCAGCAAGCTCGAGGAAAGGATTTCCGACGGTGAGTCTATTGCATGATAATCACGTGTTTAGACTGCATGTTTACATGTACATTCCTGCGATCTTTGAGTCAACAGAGCTTAGTTATAGCCCCACTGCTGTTGTTAGAGTTATCCCCCCTGCGGACGACAAGCAAGCTCAATATCACACGAAGAGTCCACGCCTGTCTAACGGGGGACCTTTTCAGTCAGGTGTAAATATCGGCAATTACCCAACTGCTGTTTACTTCGCCTTCCGACACCAGGTTTGGTGCGCGGTGAACAGGTGTGACGAAATGCTTGCAAACCTAACTTAGTCCTTGCCACGAACTTTGCTCTCTTGTTAAACCTTCCCTTTCCTGTCGGAAACTTTGTGCTCCGTACGAAACCTATTCCTCGCGTCCAAAAGACGAACGCGAATACGAAGCTAAGGCCGCCAAACGGCAAAAGGAGCAGCGTCGAAAGGAACAAGAATTGAAGGAGGCGGCCATACATAATGTCGTGTCCGGAGCTAGCAGCAAGGTGACTAGTTTAGTGAAACCAGCTCTACGTTATCGTCTGCGCTCTAAAAGTGGCCTGCTATGTGGCACTTGCGTGGTGGTACACAGGAAGGAGTAGTGAGTGCAGGCAACAAGAACAATCATTATATAACCGTCAACTCGCAACAGGATACAGAGACAAAGAGACAACAGTACCCCGTAGGTGAACAGAGTTGAAGATCATACGGAAAACAATCAAATTGAGGTATGACGTGGATCAATCCTGACTGTGTGAAGGTGGACGCAAATAGACGTGGTTTCACAACCAAATCCTATGAACGCCGCATGGATTATCGCCTGACAATACTGTTCAACGGAATCTGCCCTACCCAGCTCTCAGGCAACTTGTTCGACAGGATGCAGGGCCTCGCAAAGCTTCATGAATCCGCCAAATCGGCCATGAAGTTCGAACTTGGGCAACTGGCGAACGTAGGAAAGGGCGCGGGCAAGGCCACGCCAGCGAACGGAGGGTCTTTGACCTCAGGTGCACGCAGACGACCTCCCGTCACACAATTAAATACACCAGGACGAGAGAATGATGCCATTTCGAAGATCTTCACATAAGAACAGACAAGGAAATCAGCTGAGCAACAGACTATACAACCTGGGGACTTCGAGAACCATCAAAATACATTTCGAGCTGAGGTTGGATCACTAGGATATCCAGTGCAACAAAAAGAAGATACCAACACGTGCATATCGCAAAGAAAGACGCACGAAAAGGTCTCGATCGATGAAAACCTCTTGGCGGGTCCGCTCTACGCAGCGTCCGCCCCCTTCTCGACCCGTATCTCTGGCTACGATCCCTGACGCGGCTTCAACACATCCGTTCACCTGATGCACACAATCCGCCTTTGCTGCCCGTAGGTGCGAGCGAGCTGAAAATGCCGCTGCCGGGGGCATCGTCGGTCGTGGTGAAGGTGGTGCATCCCGC